AACAAGAGTGGATATGATGGCCATATCGCACGAAGACGAAATTTGAGCGCGACGTCGTAGGTGGAGTGCTGAATGCCATGTGGATAATCCACTCGAGTTGTACAGTATATTTTTTCTACGACCAACTAATGAAAATTTACAAATAAAAAAAAATATATTTTAGATAATTAAGACAAAATAACTAATTTTAAAATAATTTAGGAATTTTAATAATTTTATCTTTTCCCCATCCGAGAATCGAACTCCAGTTTTCTGCGTGTAAGGGCATTTATAATTATAGACGAAATAAAAACAGAAGTGCTATTAATTATCGATTCTACACAAGAATAACCCATTTTAATACATGTTTAATCATCATAACTAAAAAATATACTGACAATTAGTTTGACAGAATTGTCACTTATTTCAAATTTTAAAAATAATAGCAGGAGGTTGATCAAAATATGGACAGTGATTGGTGGGTTTCATTTTTTTGCAGTGTTCTTACTACCTAGAATGGATATGAAATATATTCGTTCAGTTGAAGGCAATAGTATACTTTTTCGTTTTGTAATCTGTGCGTAGATAAGCTAATATCCATGTGGGTGTAGAAAAAAATAATTTTGGTATTACAAACCAATATAAAATTTTATTTGTCAATTTGGGTTGTAAGCTTCGAAGAACACACAAGTTGCACTGTATGTTCTCTTTTTTAGAATATCCCTCTTCTAACTGACATAAGGGTGAAATGCTAAAATAAATCTTTGTAATCTTTCAAATAAGTTTGACTGCGTCAGACATTAGATGCTATTCATTTATGGTTTTAGAAATGCAACACAACAATGGTTAAAAAGTTATTTATCACACAGAAGACAGTTAATAAAGTTTTCAGACAGATTTTAAAAAACTCGGCGGTTATAGACGGCGCTCCACAGGAATCAGTTTTGAGACCAATTATTTTCCTAATCTTTGTTAATGATTTAACTGAGATTAGCATCCCTAAGAGAACTCAATATTCTATGATATTCCTATAATCTTTAGTCATCTGTAACATGATTTAAAATCAATTAAATCTCCGTCTTCATGTAGGAATATTATATAAAAATAAAAATTGGAAATTCATACTACAATCTGTGATGAATCTATGACGGATTTTGTTTGTTTGTTTTTATTTTTTAACAATTTAAAAGGGTTTTATTTAATTCTGTTTTGTTATGTTGTGCGTTAAATTATTGATAAAATTAGCTTTAAAATAAAGTGTCGCATTTTAAAATACATTTTTTTACGCCAGAAGGCGATAAAATCTAAAGTAATGCAAATTATAGTCATATTTCTTAATTCTCCATTAAATTACCTTTTTAATTATATATTATAATACTTTCCCAATTTAAATAGTATTAGCTGAAGCAGAAAATGTTAAACATCATTCCCCCGAATGATGTTTAACAGTTGAGGATATGACATATCTCAATATAATCAAAAATAGACGTTAAAAAAATTAACAAATAAAAATGTTTGTAGCTTGATAAAAATGTCAGTATATTATTGTGACATAAGTAAGTTAATTATCAATTAATTAAACAAATCAGTAAACAATATTTAGGAAGTAAATGGTATTGCTAGAAACAGTCATGTTCATACTTCGATTAAAAATAGAAAAACGTTGGTGATTAATGGGAACCTTGACTAATAGAAACATACGAAATTAATTATTAAAGGCCAACGACTTGTGATATAATCTGCTAATCTGCCCTAAACCGTTTATCTCAAAATCTATTACGTCCTGATTTAATCAAATACGGGAGATGTACGTCAAGTTAGTACAGAAATTGTATTTTTTTTTTTTTCGTCTAATTAATCAAAAATGTATTAATTTGTTCTAGAGAAATATATTAAATCCTTTTTAACCGATTTAATTATATACGAGGGCTGCCGGAAAACTCCATGAAAGGATATTTTTATTTTATTTTCTTGTTTCTTGATACTGCTTCTAAAGTATGAAAATTTGAATTTTATATTTCCCATCATTTCTAAATTTATTATTTATGCAAATTTAGTTTTTGTTCTGAATTGTAGTTGAAGGCTTTCATTAACTGATACAATTTTATATAGAAAAATTAACTCTCTTAAGTCAAAGTAATGTAGTTAAAAGCTGTAAAGATTTTTGTATATACAAAAATGTATTTCTTTAGCAAACTTTTTTTTATTGCTGTCTTCATCTCGGACTTATTCAGTCACTAGCATCTCTAAGTGTAATAGTGCTAGTATTCTAACACTTCTACATGTCTAAAGATGACTGTCTAAGTCAGTGGTCGCCAACCTGTCGATCGCGAGCTACCGGTAGCTCACGGAGGCAATTCTGGTAGCTCTCACAACGATTTTAATTCAAAAAATACAAACTGCAAAAATCAGAGAAGCTTCCGAAAATTCCACAAAAAAATCGAATTGTCATAATATTAAACATAAACAGCGGCAAGGTTGCGGTGAGCGATCTGCCTCTGATGCCATCAAGCTAGAATCGGCTAGAACCGACCAGCCGGACCAACGCGTTAGTGTTCGAGAACGATCAGGATTGCTTTGACTGGGATAAATACGCACCGCGCGGCGACATTGCGCTTAGTTTAAAACTGAACGCGTAACCAACGTCCAGCGGTTGGGTTAGTAGAGAACAACAAAAAATAATATTATGGCAAGCAGTTTCATTCGGAAATGGTAAGAACAATACTTTTTTACAGAAGTGAAAGATAAAAATGTGTGTTTGTTATGTAATACTTCGGTCTCCGTTGCTAAAAAAGGGAATATTGAAAGACATCATAAAACTGTACATTCTAATTTTGAAAAATCATTCCCACTACATTCTGCCACCAGAAAGGAGAAACTGAAACAGTTAAAAAGCAATTAATTGGACAACAATCAATATTTTTAAGAACGGTCGACAAAAATAAGGCTACAACTGAAGCATCGTACCGTGTGTCCCAGATAATTGCACAAAAAAATAAACCTTATGAATACGGGGAAATGATAAAACAGGCGTTTTTAGAAGCTGCTGATTCGTTATTTGCCAACTTTAGAAATAAAGACGAGATAGTTTCAGCTATTAAATCTATGCAACTTTCTACAAATACAGTGATGAGACGTGTAGAAGTAATGAGCAATGATATTTTTTTACAATTAAGACTGACTTAGATAACTGTGTTTATTTTTCTTTTCAACTAGATGAATCAACAGATGTCGTTGACACTGCCCAGATGGCCGTGTTCGTCAGGATGGTTTTCAGTGATTTTACGATTAAAGAAGATCTTTTGAAGTTTATTCCACTGAAAGGACACACTACTGGACAGGAGTTGTTTTCTCATTTAAAAAATATTATTTCTTCCGAGAAAATTCCAATATCGAAAATGATAGGCTTGACAACCGATGGCGCTCCAGCTATGGTGGGTTGTGATAAGGGTCTGGTGGCGTTATGTCGTGAAGATGAAACTTTTCCGCAATTTCTCTGTCACCACTGCATTATCCATCAGCAAGCATTATGTGGAAATTTCCTGAAACTAAACAACGTTATGAAACTGGTGGTAGAAATTGTGAACAAGATTAGAGCTCAAGCGTTACAAAGAAGATTATTCAAAACCTTGGCCGATGAAGTTGACTGTCAATACGGGGACCTACTCCTTCACTCTGAAGTCCGATGGTTAAGTAGAGGACGGGTGCTGAAACGTTTTAATGATGTCCTATCTGGCATAGTTAAATTTTTCAAACAACGCGATGAACCGACTCCGGAACTAGAAAATTCAATCTGGCTTAGAGATTTTGGTTTTCTCGTGGACATTACAGAGAAATTAAACGAACTTAATTTGCAGCTTCAGGGGAGAGACAAAGAACTAGCGGAAATGATTTCTGATATAAAAGCATTTATCAAACAGCTGGAGTTTTGGGAACAAAACCTAATTAACAGCGATGCCAAGCATTTTCCTATTCTTTCAGAAAAAATATCTCAAAATCCATTAGAACCCTATGACAGCAAATATCATGTAGAAATAGTTTCTACCCTGAAGAATAACTTCAAAAATCGTTTTAAGGATTTCAACGAAATGGCTTTAGTAGCGCAGTTTGTTATTTCGCCCTTTATGGAAATTGATATCCAACAGTTTGCAACTTGGAAATGGAAGTAATTGAGTTTCAAAATGATTTAGCCTTAAAATCGTTAGTCTCAAGTACCAAATGTATCTGGCCTATTGTAAGTAAAGACAAATATTCAGTTCTATGCCGTGTTGCCTTGAAAGTGAAAGCATTAGTCAGTTCAACCTAACTGTGGATTATTTTATTTACGTTGCGTTACGTGGCTTCCGTGTGGGTAGCTCGCTGTTTATTCCAAAATTAACAAAGTAGCTCAACACATTGAGAGGTTGGCGACCATTGGTCTAAGTTATCTAGGAGACAAAAATTATCTGACACTTTATCTGAAGGTGAAAAGACCGACACTTAAAATAGTGGATGTCAAAAACCTATTTCATGAATGTATTGGAAATGTAACACCTCAAAATTAGAAACAATTTTAAGAACATGTGCACAAAAGGAAGATGTAAGAACGTATAAAACTGATGATCTTGTGGAAATTATAGTCCCTTAGTTGAGGGGAGTGAACAATATTTTGAAAATACAAACTAAAATCCAATTTAAATTAATATTTACCAATCAAATACACCTTCTTTTTGTATGTTTTAATATATAAACTCTCGCAAGTTACGCCAGTGGGTATCTATAATTACTAGGAACGGCAATATAAATGATCAATCTATATATTTGATAATCTTATAGAGAATTCCCATAATTCTGGTCCTTTTTTTTTAAATTGTCTAATTCCAAAAATCTCACCTCCATCTTTTATTCTGCACGTACCTTTAGAATACCCCTGGTACACTATAGCAATAAGAAAGGAAATATAATATCAGGAGTTGTTCCTTATTAGATTATAAACGTCAACGAAACTATTTGCTGTTATTATTAATATTTTAATGTTTCAGAATTGTTCCTGCTGTAATATAACTGCAGAAATATGGGTACGTACATTTTGGTAATTAATTATTGTATATTATAGTGCTTTGAGCAGTGGCGTGTTTCGAGAAAATGTCGACAATAAAGCTAGAGTCTGCTAGAGCACTTTTAAAATGTTACTTTTATTTAGAAAACTACGAGGTACCAAAAAGTTTCGAGTTTTAAACGGATTTACATTTTGGGGTCTCTTGAATTCGTTTTGACTATTTTCGTGATAGTGTCTGTGTGTCTGTATACCCGATAATTCATGAACAGATATACTAAATTCTTGGGCTTTTATCCCTGAGATAACCAGTTTCGATTTTGGGCATAGTCGGAACATTTGGTGATACTTTATAGGGGGTCGTTTTTATATTTTATGGAATATATCTGTTATTTACACTTGGAAAAAAAGTTTTACATAAAAGTCGCTCGCAATATTATTGCCTAAAATTTTAGTTCTATACAAAATTTTCCTAAAATGGTCCGTATTCGAGAAATTCGACAAACAGTGCAAAATTCGAATTTTTAAGAAAATTGTTCAAATAAAAGTTGTTTGCGATATCATTCTCTGTAATTTATATTCCTCACATGATATCTCTAATAAAATATAACCATCAGATATCAAATTTTATCAGTTGTATACGAGGTTTGTCAAAAAAGAAGGTACAGCAAAATTCCTATTATTTGACATACCTCGTATACTATTGTAAAAATATGATATCTGATGGTTGTATTTTAGGTTTCAGACCATGCAGAACTTTTTGTGGAGAATCAGTTTTATTGTAAAGGTAATAATAAAAAATTTCCCATATGCTACAAACTTAAGTGGACACACTGTATATAAAAAAATGTTTCAAGTTAGATGTGTGTGGAAAATATATGTATTTATTCATATTCTAAACATTTACTGGCGTGGTACAATAGGTTGTACAAATTAACCGAAAAAGGCCTGTTATATCTAAACAGGAAGGTCATGTGTTGGAACATCAGATTTTTTGCTTACTTTACCTCACTTATTTTTTAGTCCTCTACCTAACCTATCAACGGGGCCACCTTATTTTTAAAACACCCTGTAAATAGTTATATACGAAATTATAATTTTTCAAAAACAAAAACATTCAATTTTCATTTTTTTATATAAATCTCAAAAAAAGTTATTAGGTACAAAAAATAAATTTTTAAATTTTATCTTTAACTGTCATATTATCAATATTTTAATAGGAGAAGTTGGCTTAACTCATATTTTTAAGTCAAAAATCAACTACCCTTACATGTATAACTACTTAAGGACCACACCGTATATATTAGGTCTAATTGGCCTATTTTTGTCTCCAGAATATCTGGTACTTTCTATTCTAAAGGTAATTCAGAGCAAATATTAATATTTTCATATTCCCACTGTAAAGTAGAATACACAGCATCAATAATTTTTTGGTGATTTTTGAATCACCCTGTATCAAATGTAACTTTTTCTACAAAAAGCAATATTAATTAATGTTATCAGAATACTGTTACAGCAAAAAATCCTTAATATATTAAGATAATTACATTTTAATACGTTTTAAAAAATGGCCATTTTTCAAATTCAACACCCTGTATGTTGAAAACTGGCCATAGGATTGAATTGTGCCCATGGACACTATTGTTCAGGAAGTCGATATCTTCAACGTACCAAAAATTCAGGGTGATATAAGGTTATACTTAGCTAACAAGTTCAGATAATCAGAAACTGTAGCATTATTACTTTTTATGTTTATATTTATATATCCTACCAGAATGTGGCTTTCAATATTAATACTGGTTCTGATTTGATCGAGGAACAGTCTTAAATGTTAAACAAAATAATTTTCATTTGCAGGCGGAGTTTTATCAATTGCAGTTACAAGTAATTTATTGTTTAATAAATGTTACAGTAATTTGAATGATTTTGCAAGGTCTTAAATCGATAATTTTGTGTAAAACTAAAATTTTCTTTAATATAAAATATGACACTTCCATTTCTGTTAATATTACCTTTACTGTATATTAATGTATACCCATTTAGACGAAGCAAATTAGGATCTGGAATATTTAGAGTTTCCGTCAAAACTATGCAGTTGAAAATTTAACTCTAAAGTATTAAATAGTTCATAATTCACATCCCTTATGTACGAGTCCATTTCAATTCAATTTTTTTTTTCAGTATTTTATTTTTTTTTTTTTTTAGACTGTTACAACAAAAAACTTAAAAATAACTATTTTTTTGCACGAACCATATCCAAAATTCTTTTTGACCTTGTTGAACTCATTTTTTTTATAAATGTCACTAATGATAAAACTTAAAAACGTGCTAAATTCTCACGAGTGATGCACATAAATACCAAAACATGGACTTAATACAGTAATATTTGGGAAAATTGGGGAATTCTGTTTTAAAAAATAAATCTGAAACTAAGCACATAACACAGATTTATTCCAGATCAGTGTAGGACTTAATATTTTCCTAAAAAGTGGACTTAATATAGTTTTATTCTGGGGTACAGATTTATTACCCATCAATTTGCCACACCTTGTATATAATAATTACTAAATTTATTGATTGGAATAGTTCATCTATTAAGTTATTTGGAACTGGATAACTAAACTACGCCACTGTACTGGATAATGAGATAATCAGTATGGATTAAACGTTGCTTCAATTACCTTATACTTGAATTAGTTATACTATATAGTAAATCCTTTAACCTACACAGCTAAAACACATGCGAAATTATGATTTATTTAATGAAGCTAAAACATTGATTTATTCCGTTTAGCCCGGACGACGTTTATAGGTTTATAGTACGAGTTGTAGTTTACGGAGTGATGTTAAATTTTAATCAACTGTCCGTAATTTCACAGTTTACGGTCATTTTAATACGCATTTCTGCAGCACTCTGCACTGGCGTATAGAGTTTGATTTATTCTCACTCTGTCACCTTGTGAAATTTCGACCGAGATGTACTACTACTCAACAATCTTTTTGGGCTGGGGAAATAATGGCCCAGTAACTGTCTGCCACCAATTATAATAATGGCCTTTTAGCTTTACATAAAAAGGCCATCATATATTGGTCATTACGGCCGACAATCGGGTCACAGTTATTTTGCCATCTTTTAATATCACAGAGTAACTTTGCCACCATACAGTTAAAGGGCCTTTAACAGCCCTTTACTTTTATAAATAGTAAAAATGTCTATGGTCGACTGCAGGGTCAATATTTGGTACTATACTCTGTTTTTAAACTAAGAGGAGCGATTTGAAGTTAAGTTGGCAATTCTGTAGACTGCTGATTGGTCAGATTACAGTCAGTTTCACACATTACTTTTTATCTGATAATTGTTATTGTTGACAGCTCCATGGTTGACAATTCTATTCTGACATTTTATATTTTAGGTTTTGTTATTGCTTCGATATCTCATCATTATTAATTAGTTTTTATTTTATTTCTTTAATAACAGTTCTTTACAAAACTTTAGTAAGCAATTGTATTGAATTTCTACGATTATGGGTCTATTATAGCAGTTATTCGCGGAGTCCATCAAAACAACGAAAACGAATGAGTTTAGGCCATTCAGGTCTCTCAGAAAAGCAGTAAATAATAAATATGTACAAATAGGTATTGGATAATAATACAAAAACCAAAATTGTTGATGTTATATCCAAAATTTCTCAAGCCACCCGTAAGTTTTACTCATTACTTTCAAATTAAAAATAATATTACTCAACATTTTTGTTACAGTTATTGCAAAGTCAACTACTTACCGATTATTGAAATAATACTGCAATAATGGAACAATATGTAGTCCAAAAAGTATTTATGGAAGATGAGGACTTCTAAAAACATTTGATGAGAGGTTCTTAATGCTATCCGAAGATAGTACAAGATTTCTTTTTCAAAAATGAATTATCTAGATTGAATAAAATTTTGCAAGAATTGAAACATTTTGATTTGCCATAAATATATTATTCATCTTTATATACTTTCTTGAGACCTACGTAAGTTATAACTTTGAACAGTCAAATGTACTGTTTATTTATTATGTATATTTTTTTAGATATTTGAAAAGAAATTGTCAAAGTGTATTGATAGAATGCTATATCTGTAGATTTAAAATCCATCAAACAATGTAGAAAAGAAAACATGCCAAGCTTTTATTTAGATGAAGGTAAGGTTTATCACCTGAAAAGCCTTACAAGAAAGTAAAGATGCTTTAATATTATACATGCTAATTCTGAAGGTTTTGTAGAAAATGCATTTACCATGAAGAGACGAAATCCGAAGTATTTTAGAATTGGTTTTCTACTTTTTTTTTATAAAGTTTCCTAATGATGCTATGTTTGTGATGGAAAATGTATCATATCATAGTCGAAAAAATTCCTCTGTCATAAAGAAAATCTGAAATGCAGGAGTGGTTACAAACTAAAAATATTAAATTTATTTAAATATAAAGCGATCAGCTTTTACACCTAATTTGACAACATAAAGATGCACATAATTTGTATGTTGTCAATGAAATGGCTAAAGAAACCAATAAAGTTGTGTAGTGGCTGCCTCATATTACTGCTAATTAAATCCCATAGAATTTATACAGGCACAAATAAATGAGGTGGCAGCTAAAAACACTACAAATCTTCTTATGTAGATTAACATATTGAGTACTTTGTGTTTTTTGTTGCTGTTTCAATGTAAATGTCAAGATCTACTTTGTCTTTTCACTTATTATGTTGTATAGGCACTTCTTATGCATTTTCCTTTTTTTTTTCAACTTTATTTATAATTAAAATATAGCAAATTTTCAAAATAAAGATACTACTATTCATATGTTGTTTTTCTAACTTATATTTAAAAAAAAAAATACAAAACTACGGTGTAGTATAGAAAAATTACAACTGCTGTCATTTTTAATGTAAAATTTAAAGGGTTTTACCTTACACACATTTAAAATGATTACTTTTTAAGCCACTCTGTATTTAATTTTTAAATAAAAATGCTTGGTCTGCAAGGTATAAGTGGTAAGAGTAGAATTGAGCAGCTGTTTTTGAAATATCTGGATTTATAAAAGGGCTTCCTTTAAATTTTACAATAAAAATGAGAGCAGCTTTAAATTTTTGTAGTTATAAACTAAAAATATTAAATTTATTTAAATATGAAGCAATATCAACTTTTACACCTAATTCGGCAACCCCTCCAAGCCAAACATTTTGAAAATACACCAATTATTAAAAAAAATATTCATGAAGAACTAAATTGAACTTTTAACAATCTGTATTTTCGAAATCATCTACTTTTGGACTGATGTAAGTTAAGTTAAATAGTTATATTTAAGCCTCATGAATGTGGTAGCATATTTTCCGCAATATTATAAATTGGTCAACATTGCTTTTTGGGTGTTTTACTTCTGATTTTTTTTAACTAAATAGTGAATTTCTAATCAAAATGTAAATGTAACTAAATATTCAAATAAATTTTATTTATTTAAAAATAAACCATTTACAAAATTGTTAATTATCATTTAAAACTACAAAATATTTTGGATATATTTAAAAGTGCTATTCCCATCTGAATATGTCCATAATTTGTGGTGTTTATTCCGTTTTTGTGGCTTCAAAAAATGTCAATATTAAACCTAAAAAAATAGTCATAATAAAAAAGTGTTATCACTGTAACATTTGTTTCGGCACCCTTTTTAAATATTAAATTGCTATATGTATGTAAAAGGACTTTCCAAACAAGTGTCAAAAATGTTCTTCAGATATAATGTAAAAATTGCTTGTAAACGAAAGGATACAACGAAAACGTTATGTTCAAATTATAAACCCAAAATCAAGAAAACAAATCAACTCATTGTAGTCTATAAAATAGACTGCAAAGATTATAACTACACTGACACATTAAATCTGTGAATGAGCCAGAGATTTGTCAAACATTTATTTTAATTTAATCAACTAGTTGTAAGCTATTTAACCGCCACTGGTACCTACACACTATCACAAATAAATAGATGTGTTTTGTCCATGATCATTTTAAAGTGTTTGTTATGTCCTTAAATGTTTTTTTAAATTTTAAAAAGCTGTGACTGCACCAGAAGATGGAATTTTATTCCGGAACATAATATGTACTGCTGAATTAATAAAAATATAATCTAGCAATCACACTAAAGACCTTTTATTTGTTTATAAAAAAAATATATTAAATTGCGTGTAGGAAATCCTTTTGCTGACTCAAAGTTACGAATCACCTTTTTTATGAATAGCCTTAATCATTTTTATTTATTTGTCTATACTGTAAATGATCATACAAAATTAAGATAGATATTATCTTACCCTGCAAATAAACATTTAATATTCAACAGACTTAAAGGATGTCTCAAAAAAATATACCATCTGCTTCATATTGTATAAAAAAATGTTTTCGAGAAGACCAAAGACGACTGATACACAATGTGAAATTTATTGCAACAATTACCTACAAAAAATTAGGAGAATGATAAAAAACATTATTATTATTATTAATATAACAAAATCTGGTACCGTTACACTTTCTTAGACTTCCACATATATTTAATGATTTGTGGCCCACAAGTTTACACTTTCCACTGTTGAACATAACATCTTGTTAGTGGGGACAAAATTCGTATAGTTATGATCCTTGTCAATTTGATTTTTTTGATTTCAAAACACTTGTCTGCAAACATATATCGTATATTATACTTCAGAACTTTGCTACATTTTACGTGAAGAAAGAACCTTTATTAATTAGGAAATCCATACAACAACTAATGATAATCTTGTAGTTTAATTTTGAGAAAAAATAATACAAATAAAATAAAACTATACCTATAAAGAAATATAAAAATAAACATTATTTTTTATACCTGCCAAAATTCTGAATTTTTAATAAGCTCTTCTTTAACTACAGTTCTTCCTAAATATGTTTTGTGGGTAGGTAGGTAATAATAGGTGCTTAAATCATATCAAAAAATAGAACTGGCATTCCTATTTATCTACTTTTTCCATCAAATTGAAATACCCACTATTTCCTTTTTTTTTCTGTTATTATAAAATGTATATAATTTTCTAATCACAGTTACTTATAAAACAATGAATAAAATATCGAATTAAAACTCTATGTTAAACTCAAAATGTAAACAAATATTTTGTATTTTGTTAGGCGACATTTTACTCATTTTACTGACATTTATTCGCTGCTTGGCTTGGGTGATTCTCTTCGCATCATACAGGTGCGAGCTACGATATGAGACGAAGTAACGAAAAAATAAAAGTACAATAATTATAAATCAAAAACAGAATGAGCACAATTTAGTATCATCTTTATTCGTTGATTATCTAAAACGTTGACTTTAATGCATTCATAAAAAGTTTTGAAATGTTTTTCTTGAAATTTACCGCTAAAATGATATCTAGTTACTTTTTAGTTATTTTTCCCTGTGTAAATAGGACTTTTCAAATCGCTCCTCTTAGTTTAAAAACAGAGTATAGAATATTTGGGTCAGCGAATATATAGAACATAATATAATATATGAACCGAGTACTTCTAAATCCCATATCATGCTAAGTAGTGTTGATAACATAATACGCCAATATATTGATAGGTGTGGCATTTAATCCTATATTTAGTAAAATACCAGCGTTTACAATTTGCTATTGTGGCCAATGAAAAGTCAAAAGATCCATAGTTTTTATCCAAGCTTCTATTTAATGCTAAACTGCTAAATTGGTCATTATTATTATTTCTTTTTAACTGTACACCTAATAAACTGCATTTCTTTTTTTAGGACACCTCAACATCCCAGACAACATTGGACTAATAGTTTCCAGTTATCTGGTATCCTTAATATTTTTACCGCTGTTCCTGTTTCTTAGCATATTTTTTTATGTATTCAAACTCGTACTGCGTATATACCTTACACTGCGACATGGACGTAAATTTGTCGGACTTGTCCAAGGAGGTGATTGCCTTTGGACGCTGGGACTCGCCCATGAATCAGCCATAGACGTAGCCGTAATATTCACACTAAAATCAGAGGAAAAGAAAGACCTCGCAGAAGAATTAAAGAAAAGAATAACTACACGGATTTTGTCCAACAAACAAAAGTATCCAAAATTGAACAGTACAATACATGGTTTCTTTGGATACGGATATATGTTACGCAGTACTTCAACTGTAGATGATTTGGTATCTACTGTAGAAATTACAGAAGACAATAGTAATTACAGTAAAAGTATTGAAGAGATCTTTAGTGAATGCGGTAGGCAACATTTTCCTGTAAACAACACGTCAATGTGGCAAATGATTACAATTAACGCACCAGCTTCTTGGAAAACCAAACAGAACCTCAAACATAACCAGTACCCAATCCTAATCAGGATTCACCATGTTATTGGTGACGGTTTGTCTTTAACAACGAACCTAGTCAATATTTTTTCCGACGAACCAGTTGATTTTACAAAAAATTTATCCCAATCGATGAAACATTCATTACCAAAAGAACCATCTGCAATCGAAAAGATACTTCAATTCCTACACGTGATAATGTTGACTCCTGGATATGTTTTTTTGAGGAAATTCATCAGAGATGCCCCGCAGGATGTTAAAATTTTTAAACCAGCTCCAGCAGTGTCCGGAGAAAGGGATTTTTATTTTGTGCACGATGAAAAGGTTCTTGAAACAATTAAAAGAATTAAAAAGAATGTTGGTGATACTGCATTTATTGAAATTATATTCACAGTTTTGTCGAAGAGTTTCGAAAACTATTTTGTAAATGTAAGTTTTATTTTTGTTATTATCGTATTGTTAGACTTAAAATTTACAGTACCTTCTAAAAAAAAATTACTTTCAAGTAAGTTAAGGGAGTTTGTTGAACATGTAAACTATGATATATTATGTATTACTGAAACGAAGCTCAATGAAAATATTTTAGATAATGCTATCATGATAAAAAATTATAACTTATTTAGGCAGGATCGAGATAGTGTTACTACAGGTGGTGGTGGTGTAGCCTTATATATCAGCTCTATATGGCCCGTTACGGCTGTGGATTTTTTAGATAATAGTATCATTGAACAACTTTGGGTAAAATTGACTGTTAACAAGAAAATATTTATAATCGGTGCCATATACCGGCCACCTAAACAACCTTTATTACAATTCCTAGATGCATTTGAGAACTCTATTATTGGAATTAGCGCTCAATATGATAACATAATTTGTTCAGGAGATTTCAATATAGATTTGTTAGTTGATACAGCTGCAGCTAGGCATTTGCATAATATATTTGATTCGTTTGAACTTATTCAACACGTTAACAAACCTACACGAATAAGTAAGACCTCTGCCACTCTTCTGGATTTAATGATTTGTAATGATAAATTAAATATTAATGATTGTGATGTGTTATATGATCGAATTAAAAGTGACCATGGGTTAGTAAAGGCAACGGTTATAATTGAAAATAATATTAAACCCAAAAAAACTATAACTATGCGTAATATAAAAAAAAATAATATGCAACAATTTTATCAAGAACTGTCATCTTTACCATTTGACCAGATTTACCGTAATAATGACATAAATATAAAAGTTGATATTTTTACGACCCTACTATTAAATATAATTAATAAATTTGCTCCATTGCATTCTGTAAATATAAAAAAACAAAGTAATCCCTGGATAACTGAAAATATCAAATTAATGTTTAAATTAAGGGACAATGCTCTAAGTCGCTTTAAACGAACTAAAAAAGAATCTCACTGGATATATTATAAAGAGTTACGAAACTTTACTAACAGAGCTGTATCTCACGAGAAAAAAGCTTATGTAGCCCACAAATTAAAAAATAATCTTTCAACTAAAACACTTTATAGCGAAATAAAGAAACTTAATATTTACTCTAATGATAAAAATAACGAAATTCCTAATAACTTAGCTGACGTCGATATGTTGAATAATTTTTTTATCAACTCTTCTCGGTCACAGCATAAAATTAACAAAATTATTTTGGAAAAGTTTAACTCTAGCAGAAAAGAAGGACTTGGCAAGTTTCATTTCAGCGAAGTCAGTGAGAATTATGTGTATAAAATATTATTGTCAATAAAATCTAAAGCTATTGGTGCTGATGACATTGGACTGGACATGTTACTTTACTGCTGTCCGTTTGTAATAAAATATTTAACTCACATCATTAACAGTTCTATCAGTACCGCAATTTTTCCATCACAATGGAAAGTTGCGCAAGTAATTCCATTGGCCAAAATAAAAAATCCAAATGAATTTAAAGATATCAGGCCTATAAGTATTCTTTGCACAGCTTCTAAAGTTATGGAAAAAGTTATTTATCAAAAAATAAAAACCTTCCTAGATTATTATAATATTATTCCTATTAATCAATCTGGTTTTCGCCCCAATCACAGTTGCAACACTGCCCTACTCTCAGTCATTGACGATATTATTAGAGCTATTGACCAAAATCACCTTACAGTTTTAGTATTATTAGACTATAGCAAGGCGTTTGACAGAATAAATCATGCAATGCTAATAGGGCTATTACACCACCTAGGTTTTAATGAAAATGCGAAATGTCTTATAGATAACTATCTTAAAAATATAATGCAGTATGTTAAATATAAAGATAAATTATCTTCTTCACTAGAAATAGAAAATGGAGTCCCTCAAGGATCTATTTTGGGGCCTTTATTGTTTTGCATCTATACATCTTTATTCCCAGATTCACTGAAGTATTGCAATTTTCATCAATATGCGGATGATACTCAGATTTACCTTTCATTCCCTGCTTGTAAATTTGAAGAAAGCATAGCCAAAGTAAATTCTGATTTAAATTTACTTTTTAAATTATCTAATGACTATTGCTTAGATATAAATCCCTCTAAATCTAATGTTATGCTGTTTGGCAGGAAAAAAGATAGCATTAATTACAATGATCAACTTAAAATTAAAGTTAACAATGAAATATTGCCTAATACACATATCGCAAAAAACTTGGGTGTATTCCTTGATACTGATCTTAGATTTGAAAAACACATTAATAATATAATAAAAAAATGTGTAACGAATATAAAAATGATTTACGGCAATAAAGACACCCTGGATCATCGTTCTAAAATCTTATTATGTGAATCGCTTGTATTTTCTCACTTGAACTTTTGTGATTCAGTCTATGGACCATGCATTCCTCAATTCAATAACCAGCGTCTTCAGCGCATTCAAAATACCTGCATTAGATTAATTTATAAATTAAAAAAAAATCAACGGGTTTCTCGTAAAAGAAGTGAACTAAAATGGCTGACAGTAAGTCAAGCTCGTTTTTTGTATTCCTGCTGCCTATTTCAAAAAAATTTACTATTTAAAACGCCGTCATATTTACATAACAAGATAAGGTTCAGAAGCGATGTTCATAATCTTAATATCCGTAGAAGAAATTTTGTATCAATCCCGCAACACAAGACTAAGATGTTTGAAAGCTCTTTTACTTACATATTTTATAAAACAATCAATTCTCTCCCCCCTGAAATTAAAAACTTATTTGTAAGTGCATTAAAGCGTAAAATAAAATATTATATATTAAATGGTGACATGGAAGTATCGTTTAAAATTTAAGATTTATCAAAAATATTTTCATTGATGCTTCGCATCAATTAATAATTATTGTAGTATTATTATTATTGTTAGATAGGTACTATAATTAGATATTGGTGTTAGTTATTATTATTTAATTAATAATTTTGTTTGTCTCTTTTTTGTGGGATTTACTATTATAATCTTTGTTATAATTCTTTTTTTTTTGTGCTTTTTACATCAGGATATATTGAAAACCATCTTATTTCATCTTGTATGATTGACGATGAATATGTCCTTTTCAGTAAGTTCATATTTTGGTAGGTTTCTATTGTATTATTCATTTTCCTTTTTCATTATTATTATATTCTTGATATCCGCTACATTATAATGCTGTTATGTTTTATACCATTGGCTTACTGAATAAACGTTATTATTATTATTAACCATCCTGGAGGTATATAAATTAAATTTTGCTTAAATTTACTCACTGGGATTCTGATATTTGGAGTTCACCCCAACTGTTTTCGCAATGCCTTCATTAATTAGGTAGGCCTAGTTTTAGTCTTTTGTTATTTGTCTGATTTGTGTTTCTTCCTGCTGCTTTAATTTCATTATAAAGATTATCAGTTCACTTACAACCTTCCATTTTTCTTCCGTCGATCGCCTCGTGTTTTTTGAATCGATTTTCTTGCAGTAGATGCATCTATCGTGTCTTCCTTAAGCAATACGGATATGTTCTTAATGAGCCATGTCGAATGAGGTAATGTGTAAATAATCCTTCGAAATTTGGGTCAATATTAAAAAATTTGGTTTCTGGAAAGTAAACTTTTTACAGAGAATAGTATGATAAAATATCTACTAGAAATTCCACTATTAAGTGTATATACATAATATCCTCATCTGTTATGTCATTTATTCTTTTAAATACTAAAATATCAGTAGTGAATAGAGTTCGATAGAAGAATTCAACAAAAAAAAAAATACAATAACAACGAAAAATAACTATAACACCCACTATCAACATAAGTTTCATGAAAATTAGAATACTTATGAAATCTTTTTATGCTTATTTGTGTAATTTTTATTAGGTAGTCTTTTCATTATTTATCACTAAACCTTTTTGTCTTATTATTATTATTATTGTTTAGAACAGGCAAGCGACATAGTCGATGAAGTTGCTCCTTTAGTTAGTGACAAAAATTATTCTAAATTATTACATGTCAGTTAAAATCCAATACACTATAAACCATAATGAATAAAACTATTTTTTCTTTCTTCGAGTTTTATATCCACTCTCGCCTTGAAATGGTTTATGTTCTGAGCTAAAACTGTATGCTGCTAGAGACCATTCCACAGATATACAATTCTGTTACGAAATTTTTTTCTTTGCAGTTTATTACACTTGTCTTTAACTAATTTCTTCGAGTGACCTCTCAAGGTTCTTGATGTGTTTGCCTGGAAGATGTTATCACAGGTGTAATCTTGTTTGTTTAAATGACATCACTAATGCATTACATAAAATTAAATCAAATTCTTGTGATATAGATGGTATTACTCCACAAATGCTGAGATTATGCTTTTCTGTTATTGGAATGTATGTCTTACATATTATAAATTTATGTTTGGAATATGGTTACTTTCCTGACCAATGGAAAACATCAATTATTATACCATTGCCCAAATGTTCCAATCCAACTAACTTCAATGAGTTAGGACATATTAGTTTAATACCACTATTATCAAAAATTTTGGAAAGGATAGCTTACGAGCAAATTAACGAATATTTGTCTAAAAACAGTATTATTCCTCTACATCAATCAGATTTTCAAAAAGGTACTATTACATCTCTGGCTTGCTTATAAGACAATATCTTGTCATCAATAGATAAACAGAAAATATGCCTTTTGGTACTACTGGACTTTTCAAAAGCATTTCATACTATAAATCACCGTTTGCTAATGGCAAAATGTTACTATTATGGCTTCGACCGAACAGCTTGCAAATTCATCGAATCATATCTGTTTAATCGTTGTCAGATAGTAAAGGTTAACAATCAACAGTCCAGTGCTAATGAAATAGTCTCGGGAGTACCGCAAGGTTCGGTCTTAGGACCCTTACTATTTTTATTGTACACATCTGATTTATATACTAAAATTAAATATTGTCAAGCTCAATTTTTCGCTGATGAT